TAATACATAATGAGACAGATGTTAGTGTTGGGTCGTTGTCTACACATTAGACATATGTGAGTGTTAGGGCGTTGTCTATGCATGAGACAGATGTGAGTGTTAGGTCGTTGTGTGTGCATAATGAGACACGTGTGAGTGTTGAGTCGTTATATATACATATTGAGACAGATGTGAGTGTCAGGTCGTTGTGTGTACATGATGAGACAGATGTGTTGGTTCATTGTCGGTTGATGATAAAATAAATATGAGTGTAAGGTCGTTTTTATACTTAACCAGACAGTTGTTGGTGTTGGTTCATGGTCTGTACATAGTGAGAATGATGTGCGTGTTAGATCTGTGTCTGTATATAATGAGACAGATATGAGTGTCAAGTCGTTGTCTATACATGAGACAGATGTGAATGTTAGGTCGTTGTCTGTGCACGATATGAGTGTTTATTTATTGTCTGTAGATAATGAAACTAATTTGTTTGTTAGTTCAATGTCTATTATATTCATAATGAGACAGATGTGGGTGTTAGGTCGCTGTCTTTACATAATGAGACAGATGTGAGCGTTAAGTCGTTGTCTTTACATAATGAGACAGATGTGAGTTAGGTTGCTGTCTTTACATAATGAGATAGATGTGTGAGTTAGGTCGCTGTCTTTAGATAATGAGACAAGTGTGTGAGTTAGGTCGCTGTCTATACATAATGAGACAGATGTGTGAGTTAGGTCGCTGTCTATACACAATGTGACAGATGTGAATGCTGGTTCATTGTCTGTAGATAGTGAGACAGATGTGTTTGTTAGATCAACGTATTTTCTATTCATAATGAGACAGATATGAGTGTTAGGTCGTTATATATACATGAGACTGATGTGAGTGTTAGGTCGTTATATATACATGAGACAGATGTGAGTGTTAGGTCGTTATATATACATGAGACAGATGTGAGTGTTAGGTCGTTGTCTATACATGAGACAGATGTGAGTGTTAGGTCGTTGTCTACACATGAGACACATGTGAGTGTTAGGTCGTTGTCTGTATATAATGAGACAGATGTGAGTGTTAGGTCGTTGTCTACACATGAGACAGATGTGAGTGTTAGGTCATTGTCTATACATAATGAGACAGATGTGAGTGTTAGGTCATTGTCTATACATAATGAGACAGATGTGAGTGTTAGGTCGTTTTCTATACATGAGACGGATGAGAGTGTTAGGTCGTTGTCTACACATGAGACAGATGTGAGTGTTAGGTCGATGTCTGTATATAATGAGACATATATAAGTGTTGGTTGGTTGTCTTTAAATATTGGGCCAGGTGTGACTGTTGATTCGTTTTCTATACATAATGAGATAGATGTAAATGATGGTTCGTTGTCTATTTATAATGAGACAGATGTGAGTGTTAAGTCTTTTTGTGTACGTGTATGTGTGTTAGTTCGTTGTCCATACATAATGACACAGATGGGAGTGTTAGGCCGTTTTCTGTACATAATAAGTCAGATGTGAGTGTTAGGTCGTTGTGTGTACATAATGCCACATATGTGAGTGTTAGGTCGTTATGTGTACATAATGCCACAGATGTGAGTGTTAGGTCGTTGTGTGTACATAATGAGACAGATGTGAGTGTTAGGGCGTTGTCTATACGAAATGACACAGATGGGAGTGTTAGGCCGTTGTGTGTACATAATGAGACAGATGTAAGTGTTAGGTCGTTGTCTATACGTGAGACAGATGTGAGTGTTAGGTCGTTGTCTATACGTGAGACAGATGTGAGTGTTAGGTCGTTGTCTATACGTGAGACAGATGTGAGTGTGAGGTCATTGTCTATACATAATGAGACAGCTGTGAGTGTTAGGTCGTTGTCTATACACAATGAGACAGATGTGACTGTTAGGTCGTTGTCTATATATAATGAGACAGCTGTGAGTGTTAGGTCGTTGTCTATACATAATGAGACAGATGAGAGTGTAAGGTCGTTGTCTATACATGAGACAGATGAGAGTGTGAGGTCATTGTCTATACATGAGACAGATGAGAGTGTAAGGTCGTTGTCTATACAAGAGACAGATGAGAGGGTGAGGTCATTGTCTATACATGAGACAGATGACAGTGTAAGGTCGTTGTCTATAAATAACGAGACAGATGCAAGCGTTAGGTCGTTGTCTATACATAATGAGACAGATGAGAGTGTGAGGTCATTGTCTATACATAAGACAGATGAGTGTAAGGTAGTTGTCTATAAAAAACGAGACAGATGCAAGCGTTAGGTCGTTGTCTATACATAATGACACAGTTGAGAGTGTTAGTTCGTTGTCTATACATAATGAGACAGATAAGAGTGTTAGGTCGTTGTTAATACATAATGAGACACATGTGACTGTTAGGTCGTTGTCTATACATAATGAGACACATGTGAGTGTTAGGTCGCTGTCTATACATAATGAGACACATGTGAGTGTTAGGTCGTTGTTAATACATAATGAGACACATGTGAGTGTTAGGTCGCTGTCTATACATAATGAGACACATGTGAGTGTTAGGTCGCTGTCTATACATAATGAGACACATGTGAGTGTTAGGTCGCTGTCTATACATAATGAGACACATGTGAGTGTTAGGTCGCTGTCTATACATAATGAGACACATGTGAGTGTTAGGTCGCTGTCTATACATAATGAGACACATGTGAGTGTTAGGTCGCTGTCTATACATAATGAGACACATGTGAGTGTTAGGTCGCTGTCTATACATAATGAGACACATGTGAGTGTTAGGTCGCTGTCTATACATAATGAGACACATGTTAGTGTTAGGTCGTTGTTAATACATAATGAGACACATGTGAGTGTTAGGTCGCTGTCTATACATAATGAGACACATGTGAGTGTTAGGTCGCTGTCTATACATAATGAGACACATGTGAGTGTTAGATCGTTGTCTATGAATAACGAGACAGATGTGAGTGTAAGGTCGTTGTTAATACATAATGAGACAGATGTTAGTGTTGTGTCGTTGTCTACACATGAGACAGATGTGAGTGTTAGGGCGTTGTCTATGCATGAGACAGATGTGAGTGTTAGGTCGTTGTGTGTGCATAATGAGACACGTGTGAGTGTTGAGTCGTTATATATACATATTGAGACAGATGTGAGTGTCAGGTCGTTGTGTGTACATGATGAGACAGATGTGTTGGTTCATTGTCGGTTGATGATAAAATAAATATGAGTGCAAGGTCGTTTTTATACTTAACCAGACAGTTGTTGGTGTTGGTTCATGGTCTGTACATAGTGAGAATGATGTGCGTGTTAGATCTGTGTCTGTATATAATGAGACAGATATGAGTGTCAAGTCGTTGTCTATACATGAGACAGATGTGAATGTTAGGTCGTTGTCTGTGCACGATAAGAGAGATGTGAGTGTTTATTTATTGTCTGTAGATAATGAAACTAATTTGTTTGTTAGTTCAATGTCTATTATATTCATAATGAGACAGATGTGGGTGTTAGGTCGCTGTCTTTACATAATGAGACAGATGTGAGTGTTAGGTCGTTGTCTTTACATAATGAGACAGATGTGAGTTAGGTTGCTGTCTTTACATAATGAGATAGATGTGTGAGTGAGGTCGCTGTCTTTACATAATGAGACAGGTGTGAGTGTTAGGTCGCTGTCTTTACATAATGAGACAGGTGTGAGTGTTATGTCGCTGTCTTTACATAATGAGATAGATGTGTGAGTTAGGTCGCTGTCTTTACATAATGAGACAGGTGTGAGTGTTAGGTCGCTGTCTTTACATAATGAGACAGATGTGTGAGTTAGGTCGCTGTCTATACACAATGTGACAGGTGTGAATGCTGGTTCATTGTCTGTAGATAGTGAGACAGATGTGTTTGTTAGATCAAAGTATTTTCTATTCATAATGAGACAGATATGAGTGTTAGGTCGTTGTCTATACATGAGACAGATGTGAGTGTTAGGTCGTTATATATACATGAGACAGATGTGAGTGTTAGGTCGTTATATATACATGAGACAGATGTGAGTGTTAGGTCGTTGTCTATACATGAGACAGATGTGAGTGTTAGGTCGTTGTCTGTATATAATGAGACAGATGTGAGTGTTAGGGCGTTGTCTACACATGAGACAGATGAGAGTTTTAGGTCGTTGTCTACACATGAGACAGATGTGAGTGTTAGGTCATTGTCTATACATAATGAGACAGATGTGAGTGTTAGGTCATTGTCTATACATAATGAGACAGATGTGAGTGTTAGGTCGTTTTCTATACATGAGACGGATGAGAGTGTTAAGTCGTTGTCTACACATGAGACAGATGTGAGTGTTAGGTCGATGTCTGTATATAATGAGACATATATAAGTGTTGGTTGGTTGTCTTTAAATATTGGGCCAGGTGTGACTGTTGATTCGTTTTCTATACATAATGAGATAGATGTAAATGATGGTTCGTTGTCTATTTATAATGAGACAGATGTGAGTGTTAAGTCTTTTTGTGTACGTACGGAGACATATGTGTGTTAGTTCGTTGTCCATACATAATGACACAGATGGGAGTGTTAGGACGTTTTCTGTACATAATAAGTCAGATGTGAGTGTTAGGTCGTTGTGTGTACATAATGCCACATATGTGAGTGTTAGGTCGTTATGTGTACATAATGCCACAGATGTGAGTGTTAGGTCGTTGTGTGTACATAATGAGACAGATGTGAGTGTTAGGGCGTTGTCTATACGAAATGACACAGATGGGAGTGTTAGGCCGTTGTGTGTACATAATGAGACAGATGTAAGTGTTAGGTCGTTGTCTATACGTGAGACAGATGTGAGTGTTAGGTCGTTGTCTATACGTGAGACAGATGTGAGTGTAAGGTCGTTGTCTATACACGAGACACCTGTGCAGCTGTGAGTGTTAGGTCGTTGTCTATACGTGAGACAGATGTGAGTGTTAGGGCGTTGTCTATATATAATGATACAGCTGTGAGTGTTAGGTCGTTGTCTATGCATAATGAGACAGATGAGAGTGTAAGGTCGTTGTCTATAAATAACGAGACAGATGAGAGTGTAAGGTCGTTGTCAATACAAGAGACAGATGAGAGTGTGAGGTCATTGTCTATACCTGAGACAGATGAGAGTGTAAGATCGTTGTCTATAAATAACGAGACAGATGAGAGTGTAAGGTCGTTGTCTATACATAATGAGACACATGTGAGTGTTAGGTCGTTGTCTATACATAATGAGACACATTTGAGTGTTAGGTCGCTGTCTATACATAATGAGACACATGTGAGTGTTAGGTCGTTGTTAATACATAATGAGACACATGTGACTATTAGGTCGTTGTCTATACATAATGAGACACATGTGAGTGTTAGGTCGTTGTCTACACATAATGAGACACATGTGAGTGTTAGGTCGCTGTCTATACCTGAGACAGATGAGAGTGTAAGATCGTTGTCTATAAATAACGAGACAGATGAGAGTGTAAGGTCGTTGTCTATACAAGAGACAGATGAGAGTGTGAGGTCATTGTCTATACAAGAGACAGATGAGAGTGTGAGGTCATTGTCTATACCTGAGACAGATGACAGTGTAAGATCGTTGTCTATAAATAACGAGACAAATACAAGCGTTAGGTCGTTGTCTATACATAATGAGACAGATGAGAGTGGTAGGTCATTGTCTACACATGAGATAGATGTGAGTGTTAGGTCGTTGTCTATACATAATGAGACAGATGAGAGTGTTAGGTCATTGTCTATACATAATGAGACACATGTGAGTGTTAGGTCGTTGTCTATACATAATGAGACACATGTGAGTGTTAGGTCGCTGTCTATACATAATGAGACACATGTGAGTGTTAGGTCGTTGTTAATACATAATGAGACACATGTGACTATTAGGTCGTTGTCTATACATAATGAGACACATGTGAGTGTTAGGTCGTTGTCTACACATAATGAGACACATGTGAGTGTTAGGTCGCTGTCTATACATAATGAGACACATGTGAGTGTTAGGTCGCAGTCTATACATAATGAGACAGATGTTAGTGTTAGGTCGTTGTTAATACATAATGAGACACATGTGACTGTTAGGTCGTTGTCTATACATAATGAGACACATGTGAGTGTTAGGTCTCTGTCTATGCATAATGAGACACATGTGAGTGTTAGGTCGCTGTCTATATATAATGAGACACATGTGAGTGTTAGGTCGCTGTCTATACATAATGAGACACATGTGAGTGTTTGGTCGTTGTTAATACATAATGAGACACATGTGACTGTTAGGTCGTTGTCTATACATAATGAGACACATGTGTGTGTTAGGTCGCTGTCTATACATAATGAGACACATGTGAGTGTAAGGTCGCTGTCTATACATAATGAGACACATGTGAGTGTTAGGTCGTTGTTAATACATAATGAGACACATGTGACTGTTAGGTCGTTGTCTATACATAATGAGACACATGTGAGTGTTAGGTCGCTGTCTATACATAATGAGACACATGTGAGTGTAAGGTCGCTGTCTATACATAATGAGACACATGTGAGTGTTAGGTCGTTGTTAATACATAATGAGACACATGTGACTGTTAGGTCGTTGTCTATACATAATGAGACACATGTGAGTGTTAGGTCGCTGTCTATACATAATGAGACACATGTGAGTGTTAGGTCGCTGTCTATACATAATGAGACAGATGTGAGTGTTAGATCGTTGTCTATAAATAACGAGACAGATGTGAGTGTAAGGTCGTTGTTAATACATAATGAGACAGATGTTAGTGTTGGGTCGTTGTCTACACATTAGACATATGTGAGTGTTAGGGCGTTGTCTATGCATGAGACAGATGTGAGTGTTAGGGCGTTGTCTATGCATGAGACAGATGTGAGTGTTAGGTCGTTGTGTGTGCATAATGAGACACGTGTGATTGTTGAGTCGTTATATATACATATTGAGACAGATGTGAGTGTCAGGTCGTTGTGTGTACATGATGAGACAGATGTGTTGGTTCATTGTCGGTTGATGATAAAATAAATATGAGTGTAAGGTCGTTTTTATACTTAACCAGACAGTTGTTGGTGTTGGTTCATGGTCTGTACATAGTGAGAATGATGTGCGTGTTAGATCTGTGTCTGTATATAATGAGACAGATATGAGTGTCAAGTCGTTGTCTATACATGAGACAGATGTGAATGTTAGGTCGTTGTCTGTGCACGATAAGAGAGATGTGAGTGTTTATTTATTGTCTGTAGATAATGAAACTAATTTGTTTGTTAGTTCAATGTCTATTATATTCATAATGAGACAGATGTGAGTTAGGTTGCTGTCTTTACATAATGAGATAGATGTGTGAGTTAGGTCGCTGTCTTTACATAATGAGACAGGTGTGAGTGTTAGGTCGCTGTCTTTACATAATGAGACAGGTGTGAGTGTTAGGTCGCTGTCTTTACATAATGATACAGGTGTGTGAGTTAGGTCGCTGTCTTTACATAATGAGACATGTGTGTGAGTTAGGTCGCTTTCTATACACAATGTGACAGGTGTGAATGCTGGTTCATTGTCTGTAGATAGTGAGACAGATGTGTTTGTTAGATCAACGTATTTTCTATTCATAATGAGACAGATGTGAGTGTTAGGTCTTTATATATACATGAGACAGATGTGAGTGTTAGGTCGTTATATATACATGAGACAGATGTGAGTGTTAGGTCGTTATATATACATGAGACAGATGTGAGTGTTAGGTCGTTGTCTATACATGAGATAGATGTGAGTGTTAGGTCGTTGTCTACACATGAGACCGATATGAATGTTAGGTCGTTGTCTATACATGAGACAGATGGGAGTGTTAGGTCGTTGTCTATACATGAGACAGATGTGAGTGCTAGGTCGTTGTCTACACATGAGACAGGTGTGAGTGTTAGGTCGTTGTCTGTATATAATGAGACAGATGTGAGTGTTAGGTCGTTTTCTATACATGAGACAGATGAGAGTGTTAGGTCGTTGTCTACACATGAGATAGATGTGAGTGTTAAGTCTTTGTCAGTCATAATGCCACAGATGTGAGTGTTTGGTCGTTGTGTGTACATAATGAGACAGATGTGAGTGTTAGGGCGTTGTCTATACAAAATGACACAGATGGGAGTGTTAGGCCGTTGTGTGTACATAATGAGACAGATGTGAGTGTTAGGTCGTTTTGTGTACATAATGCCACAGATGTGAGTGTTAGGTCATTGTGTGTACATAATGAGACGGATGTGAGTGTTAGGTCGTCGTTTGTACAAAATGACACAGATGGGAGTGTTAGACCGTTGTCTGTACGTACTGAAAGCGATATTAGTCTTTGGCCGTTGTCTATACAGATGTGAGTGTTAGGTCTTTGTTTGACGCACTGAGACAAATATAAATGCTAGGTCGTTGTGTGTACATAACGAGACAGATGTGAGTGCTAGGTCGTTGTCTACACATGAGACAGATGTGAGTGTTAGGTCGCTGTCTGTATATAATGAGACAGATGTGAGTGTTAGGTCGTTTTCTATACATGAGACAGATGAGAGTGTTAGGTCGTTGTCTACACATGAGATAGATGTGAGTGTTAAGTCTTTGTCAGTCATTATGCCACAGATGTGAGTGTTTGGTCGTTGTGTGTACATAATGAGACAGATGTGAGTGTTAGGGCGTTGTCTATACAAAATGACACAGATGGGAGTGTTAGGCCGTTGTGTGTACATAATGAGACAGATGTGAGTGTTAGGTCGTTTTGTGTACATAATGCCACAGATGTGAGTGTTAGGTCATTGTGTGTACATAATGAGACGGATGTGAGTGTTAGGTCGTCGTTTGTACAAAATGACACAGATGGGAGTGTTAGACCGTTGTCTGTACGTACTGAAAGCGATATTAGTCTTTGGCCGTTGTCTATACAGATGTGAGTGTTAGGTCTTTGTTTAATGCACTGAGACAGATATAAATGCTAGGTCGTTGTGTGTACATAACGAGACAGATGCAAGTGTTAGGTCGCTCTTTTTACATAATGAGACAGGTGTGTGAGTTAGGTCGCTGTCTATACACAATGTGACAGATGTGAGTGTTAGGTCGTTTTCTATACATGAGACAGATGAGAGTGTTAGGTCGTTGTCTATACATGAGACAGATGTGAGTGTTAGGTCGTTGTCTATACATGAGACAGATGTGAGTGTTAGGGCGTTGTCTATACATGAGACAGATGTGAGTGTTAGGTCGTTGTCTATACATGAGACAGATGTGAGTGTTAGGTCGTTGTCTATACATGAGACAGATGTGAGTGTTAGGGCGTTGTCTATACATGAGACAGATGTGAGTGTTAGTGTTAGAGACAGATGTGAGTGTTAGGTCGTTGTCTACACATGAGACAGATGTGAGTGTTAGGGCGTTGTCTACACATGAGACAGATGTGAGTGTTAGGTCGTTATATATACATGAGACAGATGTGAGTGTTAGGGCGTTGTCTATACATGAGACAGATGAGAGTGTTAGGTCGTTTTCTATACATAAGGCAGATGAGAGTGTTAGGTCGTTGTCTATACATAATGAGACAGATGTGAGTGTTAGGTCGTTGTCTACACATGAGACAGATGTGAGTGTTAGGTCATTGTCTATACATAATGAGACAGATGTGATTGTTAAGTCGTTGTCAGTCATAATGAAACGGATGTGAGTGTTAGGTCGATGTCTGTATATAATGAGACAGATGTGAGTGTTAGGTCGTTGTCTGTACATTATGACACAGATGGGAGTGTTAGGCCGTTGTCTGTACATAATGACACAGATGGGAGTGTTAGGTCGTTGTCTGTACGTACTGAAAGCGATATTAGTCTTTGGCCGTTGTCTGTACAGATGTGTGTGTTAGGTCTTTGTTTGACGCACTGAGACAGATATAAATGCTAGGTCGTTGTGTGTACATAACGAGACAGATGCGAGTGTTAGGTCGTTGTCTATACATAACGAGACAGATGCAAGTGTTAGGTCGTTGTCTGTACATAACGAGACCGATGTGAGTGTAAGGTCGGTTTCTACTCATAACAAGACAGATGGGGGTGTTAGGTCGGTTTCTACACATAATGACACAGATGTGTGTGTAAGGTCGAAATGGCGTCTATACATGTCATTTTCGACTTTATAATGATATCAAATGAGATTGAGGTTGCGATCAATGATATATGGAGATGTCAGTTCCTTGAATATATTTCCAAATGACGTGTAATTATCAGTTTGTGTCAAGATTTATATTGCTGCACAATTGGTAATATAGGATAGCCGGAATAGTAGCTGTAGGTGAAATCCTAGGTGCGTAGGTCGAATATCCTTATTTGATATTGTTTTTTTCTCGTTAAGTTGTGAAACTGACCAGTCTCTGCTAACGTTGTTTTGGACAAAACAATTGACGTGAATTGCTCCTGATGGCGTGCTGCAGGCCTTCGGTATATTCTAGGTGATACTATTTACTGTAAGGGGCCCATACCTCAAAATAACTTTGGCTGTTAAACCCAGCAATCAATCAACTGTTGGTAATGAATTCGTAGAAAACAAAGGCAAATACTTCAGTACACACATATTCCCTGATACTACTCATTGAAAATATGTCTATATCCGTTGGTTCGATCTGCTTTATATATATATATATGGTTTTATTTTTGTTTTTTTTTCTTTGTTTTGTTCTTTTCTTGTTTTGGTTTTGATATATATATATATATATTTTTTTTTTGGTCTTTTTTTGTTTGTTTGTTTGTTTTTGTTTT